GTGCGTGCGTGCGTGCGTGCGTGCGTGCGTGCGGGCGTGCATGCGTGCGCGCGTGCGTCAGTGCGTAGATATGTGTCTGCGCATGCCCCGTATGCACAAAGAAAACCTTTGGCGATATCTACGGAGAACAATTTCCATTTTACAATTACCTTGCATTTTATACGGTCGCAGAATTGCTCGCTGCTACACAATCCACGGCGTCATGTCGCCTAGACGGTAACATCCCAGTTGGCCTACTCCCATTTCGCCTACGTCCCATTTCGCCTACTCACATTTCGCCTACGTCCCATTTCGCCTTCTCCCATTTCGTCTACTCCCAGAATCGGCAATATTCCCATTTCGCTTACTCCCATTTCGTCTACGCTCATAATAAATAATATAATAGTGTCATGTCATCTACCACTAGTTTGTTTTATTTATTATTATATTAAAATTATTTAAAATTGGAGTCGATTTTGAGCGTAGACGAATTAGGAGTAGGCGAATGGGTGTAGGCCCACTGGGAATTTTGTTGTAGGCGAAATGGGAATTTTGCCGTAGGCGAAATGGGAGTAGGCCAACCGGGAATAACCCGCCTACACCGCACGTCTAGGCGCGGGATCTGTGATCCAAGCGAATAGCAGCTTCATCCACGCCTATATAGTCAGTCGACGTGTTTACATATTCTAGTAGCGGCTGTTTGCTGAGGAGGATTATGATCATCGGAGCGGATTTTCCCTCGGCGACCTATAGCAGCTAGAGAGAGAAGTTCACGCGCGATTAGAGTGAGCTATGGGCCGTGTCGCTGTTTCACGCCTACATCCACACACGCCCCTATCTCACCCCTTACCTCACCCCTATCTCACCCCTTACCTCGCCCCTTACCTCACCTCTACCTCAACTCTACCTCACACCTATCTCACCCCTTACCTCACCCCTACCTTGCCCTTACCTCACCCCTACCTCACCCTTACCTCGCGCCTACCTCACCCCTATCTCGACCTTTACCTCATCCTCTATCTCACCCCTTACCTCACCTCTACCTCGTCTCTACCTAGCTGCTACCTCACCCCTACCTTGCCCCTACTTTACCCCTACCTCACCCCGGTCAGCATGTGTATATAGTATATATATACCTAAGCGGCTCCACTCCGAGGTACATATCAACTATGCGTAGGCCTACCTATATGTACCTATGTGTGTATATGTGTATGTGTGTGGGCAACGCTGCGCATGCGTATTACAGTCAACCTCATATGCAGGCGTAGGCGAATAATTTGCATGCAGATCGTCTCGGCTTCGTATTCATATCTGTCGATGATGTCTGGGCTTGAATGTCGGCTTGCATGAATATCAGAATGTTTCACCTGTCATCCGGGATACGTAAATAGGTAAAGAGAGAGAGAGAGAGAGAGAGAGAAAGAGAGAGAGAGAGAGAGAGAGGAAAAAGAGAAAGAGAACAAGAAAGAGCACGAGACAGAGATAGAAAAAGATAGAGAGACAGAGAGAGAAAGAGAAAGAGAGACAGCGAGAGAAAGAGAAAGACAGACAGAAAGACAGAGAGACAGAGAGAGCGCGCGTGTAAACTATATTATTCGGATGATTGAGTGTTTTGCTGTGAGCTGTGAGTAAACAAGGAAGCGTTTGCTCCGCTAATCATGTGCACTGTCCGTACCATTGTCTTTCCCCGCCGATCCAGCCCTGTGACATATGTCGACATGTACGCGTGCACGCGTCCGTGCATATGTGCGTTCGGGTCTGTGTGCGTGCTGCATATATGCGTGCGTGAGTGCGGTCATTCGTGCACGCGTGAGTGCGTGTCTGCGTGCGTGAGTGTGTGAGTGCGTGCGTGCATGCGTGCGTTCGTGCATGCTGCATGTGTGCATGCGTGAGCGCGGTCGTTCGTGCACGCGTGAGTGCGTGTCTGCGTGCGTGAGTGCGTGAGTGCGTGCGTGCATGCGTGCGTTCGTGCATGCTGCATGTGTGCATGCGTGAGCGCGGTCGTTCGTGCACGCGTGAGTGCGTGTCTGCGTG